TAACATTTGTTTCGAGGTCGTTTATTAGATTAAAGTAAGATTAAGTAAGTTCGTCGGGTCGCTACTGCTCAGTGAACATCAATAACGTGTGTCTTAATAAAAAATATGTGATATATTTTCCACATTTTTTAATCGCCCTATATTCCGTGGACATAGAACTACTACGTATTCTTGGAATCAAAATAAGTTTACTGGTCACAATTTACCTTTATACAAAAGTGCTTCGTTTGTTCGCTAGAGGGATTTAAAAACTTTAAACAACTTTAAAAAAATAAACACCTTTTTTTAAGATATTTATCTACGTCAGTGAGTTAAGAAGCTCTTAACTCACGCATTTTGAGTGAGTTAAGAGCTTCTTAACTCACGCATTTTCATTACCGCACTCCTTGTTTAGATGACTACCAAAGAAAAAAAAATATTTTGTAAAACATTTATTTTGCACTAAATACAAATAAACTGTTCTATTGATAATAATTATAAAAACATGAAAACTTATTTATTATAAATGTTAATGATACACTTTGAACAAGCTTTCAAGTAAATGCCTGATGAAGCAGGTACATTTCCCGAACTAGTATTCGATATATTAAAATTCTGATTCTGATGACTAGATTTTTTGATTTTTTAAACTAGTGACATCAATATTATTTACTCTCATATTGACATTTCCATGCATGGTGTTATTTGAACAAAGGTATTAAGGTAATTGATTTTTAGGATAGATATATAGTTAAGTAGAATAATTTTTAAAATTCATTGTGTGTTTTTATAGTTAGACGTAGATAAAATATTGTACAATACACGCGAGTTAACTCCATGAATATACCTTGTGTGGTTACACAACTCGTGCTACGCACTCGTTGTGCAACTTTCACACGCGTGTCTTAATGATGCTGTTAACTCACTTGTATCGTAAATATCTATAACATTTATGGGAAAGATGCCTATATTGAACCCGCACCTAAATTAGTTTTTCTATTAGAGGCAGTTTTCGAATATGGCTTTTGTGGATAAATCCTAAGGGTAACTACGTATGATTTTATATTTTGTGTACAGTTGATGTAGTATTTTCGCACTATACTCTTAGGCAGGGGCGTCCTGACGGGTGGAGCAGAGGAGCAGTTGCTCCAGGCAGCCAAATCTGAGGGCGGCCGTTTCGGTACAATTGTACTGAATTTGGTACATTTTGACCAAATTCGGTACGTCAGTACTACATTTTCGAAAATGGTCATTTTCGGTACGAAATTTCCAACAGTATAAATGCAACTAGTAAACTGCTTCAGAATGAGAAACTCGGCATCATTGAGTCCACAAAAGCTCTAAAATCTATCGACGACTATTTTGTCAAAATAAGGACTGACGACCATTTTAGACAAATATTAGTGGATTCTGCAGAGCTGGCAGAATAGCTGGAAATTGAAGCAGTTTTTACTAATCACATTAAAGGGCGTCCCCAAAAAAAACTAGACAGTTTTTGTATGAATCAGTGGATGAGCCAATTTTAGATCCGCAGGAAAAGTTTAAAATCGATTTTTTCTTTATTGTCCTGGATACGATCCATGAGGCTCTCCAGGAAAGTTTTGACCTGTTAAAAGCTCACTCGGACTATTTTTCGTTCTTATACGACTTCACAGTTCTCAGGAATATCAACCGAGAGGAAATAACAAAGCATTGTATGGATCTTCATCTCTATTTAAGGGACGGAGACAAATATGATATTATGGCCTAAAGCTTCGGGACGAGATTTTAGCGCTAATTGTTCTAATACCAGCAGATAATGCCGAAAACTTCAGTTCTCCAAAACAAACACTAAAATATTTAAAAATTCACGATCTGATTGGAAACTTTCCAAATATTTACTTCTCCATAAGAATCTTATTAACGCTGCCGGTTTCAGTGGCAACCGGAGAGAGAAGTTTTTCTAAACTCAAAATAATTGAGAATTACCTGAGATCAAGTATGACACAAGAACGATTAAGCGGATTATCTTTAATATCTATTGAGCACGAAATAGCGAACAGTCTAAACATCGACGATTTTGTTTTGTCTATGTTAGAGATTTTGTTTCTCAGGATTATGTCTATGTATTTATTACGATTGTTTTGTTAATAATTATTTATAGTAATTTATATTACCTAGTTTTAGGTGTTAGTTTGGCTAATGTACAGGGTGGGTCAAATTCGACGTTTTTAAATGGAAACACCCTTTTTTATAGGAGATAGACAAAAACTAATATCGGTGTCTGGAGCTCAATTTTTGTCAAAAACAGGATGGTGAAAACCGCATATCGATATCTGTTACCGTTTCGGAGTTACGGAGTGTTTTTCAAAAATATGCATTTTTAACATATCGCTGTAACTTTTTTGCTATGGAAAATTTTGTATTTTTATGAAAACATTCCCAAAGCACCTTTTTACGTAGAATTTAACGGTTTAAGTATAATTTTTTTAAAATTAATAATTTAAGAATTATCAACAGAAAATTTGATTTTTTATATGGGACACCATGTATATTTTTAATTTATTGAAAAGAATTTAAAATTACCTTTCCAAAAATATAACACACTTGATATTTTGCTCGATTCCTCTTCGAGATATAGAGTATATAAAAATTCGCCCGCTTTAAATAAGTAGGCTTTGAACGGCTTCGGCTGTAATGCAAAAAAAATCTAGCTGTGAGCATCAATTAAAACGAAAATAATATTTGCTACGAGAGATGCAGAATTTTATAACAATTTAAAATATATTTAACCAACATCAACACATTTAAACTATATCTAATAACAATAAAAATAAATAGCAAATCAACACATGAGATTTTGCTACAGGTGTTCGACATATCGACCGTCTTCTGTTATGGACAGACGGGACAGTTTTCGAACATTTCTCGCGGAATTCATTAACTCAGTGGAGGTGTAAGATACCCTCTCATAACTGCTAAGTATTTCTAATTCTTGTCTAGATTATACGGAAGAATAAGGAACCTTATTCGTCCGCAAATATATCCATAGCATTAGATCCATGGGCACTAAGTCAGGCGGCCTCGACGGCCAACGGCTGGGATCTTGGTTTGCTATTCAATTATTCTTGAAATTCGCTGCAAAAATTTGCTGATAACTTCAGCGTTCAAAGACGGTGCGTCGTCTTGCTGGAAAAATATGTTTTCGAATTCCATTAAGGGCATATCATCAATAAGGGGTTGAAAGCCTACTAGTTAAAAGTGGCAAACTTTTAAAAATTCTGGATTTCGAAGGAGATTATATTATAATTTATTTATTTTTATTTTGATTTTTTATATGATTATATTATAATTATTATTATAGAATATCAAGTAAGCTATATTTTTGGAAAGGTAATTTTAAATTCTTTTTAGTTAATTAAAAATATAGAGGGTGTCCCAAATAAAAAATCAATTTTTCTGTTGATAACTCTTAAATTATTAAATTTAAAAAATTATACTTAAACCATTAAATTCTACGTAAAAAGGTGCTTTGGAAATGTTTTCATAGAAAAACAAAATTTTCCATAGCAAAAAAGTTACAGCGATTTGTTAAAAATGCACATTTTTGAAAAACACCCCGTAACTCCGAATCTGTAACAGATATTGATTTGCGGTTTTCACCATAATGTTTTTGATGAAAATTGAGCTCCAGACACCGATATTAGTTTTCGTCTATCTCCTATAGAAAAGGATGTTTCCATTTAAAAGCGTCGAATTTGACCCACCCTGTACACCTTATACTGTTTTTTTATTCTTGTTAGGTACCATGTGACGCTCCTTTTAAATACAAAATTTAAATGCTAATTCTGAAAATATTGCAATATTTATTTCCTTTTTTTTAGAAAGGGTGTGATAATATTTCTTACCGTCTGTGGCACACTTTCATATTTTATTTTCACTCCTGATTCTTCGGATCAAACTTCGTACTAATAAAAAAACGGTTGTCTGTAGGGGGGGAGGGGGCGCATTTTTTCGGGTTTGCTACAGGCGGCCGACAGTCTAAGGACTGCACTGCTCTTAGGCCTCATTTGTGAAAAAGTAAGTTTAAATTAATAACGCTACGTGTGCGTTTAAATCTTATAATTATGTGTATTTTCCGCATAACAGTCTGAAATAATTCTCTTTTCTATGTGAGAGTAGACTAGAAATTTCACAGACAAATTGCCTAATTTGAACCGACTAAATTTTCTGAATTTGAACCAGTTGAATTTAGAGATTGAAACAAAATAAGACCAATCAGATTATATGGACCTATGGTCTTTCAGTTAATTTTTATCAATATGCGTTTTATATCAAAATATATAAAACGAAGACAATATGGGCTCTGGACAGAAAAAATATGGCTTAAACTATCAAGGATTACAAAAAAGCCAAAATTGGTCTAAACGAATGTGCTCGACGATATGGCAAATCAACTATATTAAGACATGCAAGGGGCACTAAACTAGCTAAGGTTACTGTCAAGAAACTAGGTAAAAAGGTATTTATTTTACAAAAAAAATCGGTCGTCGGTTGGGTTGGAAAATATTTATACGAAAATTTATCTAGGGGTGGGGGTAGTTTTTACCCTTCCCGTACTTTTTCTTGATTTTTGTGAAAGTCAAATGTTAAAGCACTAAGCAAAACATATTTATGTTTTGCAAAGCATATTTAAATTTTGGGTATTTACCCAAAATTTCATTCAAATCCGAATAACGGTTCTTATAATATCTGAAAAAATATGTTTATTTTTTATAGTTTGATACCCCCTAACGGACAAACGAAGCACTTTTGTATAGAGGTAAATTGTGTGCAACTAACTTATGTTGATTCCAAAAAATACGTAGTAGTTCTATATCCACGGAATATTAGGACAACCTGTATACCGTATGACCGAATAAAAATGGCGTCAAACACGGCTGGGGAATGGCAGTCGATAATAATTTTGTCGAGGCCAATCTCTAGACGTCATTAACTAAAAATTGACATTTTGTTTAAAACATGTATTTTTTTTATTTCAGTTTTATGGAACCAGATGGCAGTAGACGTACAGTCCATTACACAGCAGAACCTCACACAGGATTTAATGCCGTAGTTCACAGAACTCCACCTCAAGGCAACTAAAGAAACATGTTCCTTACTCTTCTGTATTTCTTCACTGTGATGTTCCTCCTACTCTAACTTAATCTTGATATTCTCTAGCTTTTTTGTATTACTTTTTTGTTACATTTTCTATGTAAGATCCCTGTATATTTATTTATTAAGACTAAATGTGTTTTAAAATATCAATAAATGCTTTTAAAATATGTCGAAGTTTAATTGTTGTATTGTGAATAAATAACTGAAATATCCTGACTAATACAGAGCCCTCAACAATGAAGTAGGACTACTAAAATTTGGTAGGTAAGTTTTCTAGGGGCGAAGAAAAAGATATATGTAAAGATATTTGAGTTAGATGCTACAGGGTATTCTAAATATATTTATGAATTTCGACTATTCAAAAATTAAAAAATCTCAATTTTTTTAAATGATAGTGTCCATGGTAACGTCCATGGTAAAAAAAGGAACAATTATTATCAAAATTTGATGTCTATTAACCAAGTTCAGAATTTTAATTTTGGTACTATAAACCAAAATGGTACAAAGGACTGCGATTTTAGTTTATTTGAGTAATGTTGATTAATATAGACTAATAATAACAATTGTAACTAGTTACTAAACTACTTGTTAATGAGTAATAATAAATATTTTTGTTTTGTCATCGCAACTATAATGTTTTAGCAAAATAAAACACTAAATCACGACAATACACCAAAACACTTTTACTTTTACACTGGACGCGCGTTTCGCTAACCATATAGATTATAAACTGAACTTTATAATCATCTGCTGATGATGCTAACATGGTTAGCGAAACGCGCGTCCAGTGTAAAAGTAAAAGTGTTTTGGTGTATTGTGGTGATTTAGTGTTTTATTTTGCTGTGTAACACCAAAGGTTCCAACCCTCAACTGTAATCTTATAATGTTTTAGCATAAATCAAAATAAAAAAATGCAAAAATTGAAAAACTCAGAATAAGTCGCAAACTATTAGAAATAGGTATATGAAATACTTAATAAAACTTGAAGAATTTTATATTACAGTTGAGGGTTGGAACCTTTGGTGTTACACAGCAAAATAAAAACACTAAATCACCACAATACACCAAAACACTTTTACTTTTACATTGGACGCGCGTTTCGCTAACCATGTTAGCATCATCAGCAGATGATTATAAACTAAAGTACAATCTACAAGTTGAGCGTTTATATACTCGCTCAGTGGGCAACGAGTGGACGTGGCAAAATCTAGCCAACCGAGTCAGAGCCAACTGAGCGTAACAGTTAGATTTCCGCCACTAGAGTAGGAGGAACAAAGAACTTGAAGGAATTGGACCGTTGACTCTGTTCATACTATCTTTACATTTATTAATTCTGATGCTTTCATATGCATCTAATTGCCTGTAATTTGAGACTTGTTTAATTAATTTTAAATTATTAAGATCTATACAATGTTCATTATCAACAATATGTTCGGCAACGCAAGATTTATCCGGTCTACCATATCTTATCTGAGCTAAATGTTTTTTAAATCTAGTTAATATTGATCTTCTAGTTTGCCCAACATATTTCTGATTACAATCTTTACAAGAAATTTCATAAATACCCGACCTTTCCAGTGGAGGTGTTTTATCTTTTGGATTACCTAATAATTGTTGTAATTTATTATTAACACTATACACAAGTTTATAATTGACATTCTTAAAAATTCCTTTTAGACCACGGGATAACTCTCTATCAAACGATATCGAAAAATATTTAGACGTATCTTTCTCCACTTGAAAAGTCGAATTTTCAGAAATCATTAACCTATACCTACGTTTTCTAATTAATTTATCAACTAGTGAAGGAGAATATCCATTACACTCAGCTACATTCCTTATGTAATCTCTTTCTATTTCATATCTTTCGTTGGAAAGTGGGAAACTAAGTAATCTATGAACTAAGAAATTTAAACTAGCCATTTTATGTTCAACACTATGATGTGATTCCTTAGGAATATATCTGCGTGTGGTCGTATTTTTCCTATAGATATCAAATTCCAGGCAATTATTAGTATTTCTAATAACTAATACATCTAGAAATGGTAATCTGTCGTTGTTCTCAATTTCATGCGTAAATTTAATGGAAGGAAAACGATTATTTAACTTAGAAATAAAATTATCTATGGTGTCTGAATGTGTGTCAAAAACAGCAAAAATATCATCCACATACCTAAACCATACTCTTGGAAAATACTCAAACTGATTCTTAGCCTCCACTTCAAACCTGCTCATGAATAAATTAGCCAAAAATGGAGACAATGGATTACCCATTGCTGTACCTTCCCGCTGTTCAAAAAATTTGTTATTAAATTGAAAACAATTTTGTTTCATACATAACGATGTAAGCTCAATATATTCACTCACAGTTTTGTTGTCGAAACCATTTGCGTTCAGTAATTCCTTTAAGTAGCCTAAAGTATGTGGAATTGGAACACTTGCGAACAACGAAGATACATCAAAAGAGACCAAAATTTCACCTTCATGCAATGTTATATCTTTAATTTTGTTAATGAATTCAATATTATTTTTAACTGAGAAAGAAGGTTCATGATCAGGTAAATTTTCGAACTCCCTTGATAACCATTTTGCCAAATTATAAGTCGGAGAACCTACAGCCGAAACAATTGGGCGCATAGACTTGTCCGGTTTATGAATTTTGGCAAAGCATACAAGCCCCCAGTAATGAGGGATTGGATACTTGCAATTTCCTCTTTAAAGAAAGATCAATAAGGGTGTTACATTCTTTTAGAGTTTTTTGAACGTCTGCTACCATCTTAGACAAAGGATTCTTTTTCAAATTTATGTAGGGGCCATTATCGATTAAGTTGTTAACCTTATCGTAATAGTCTTTTTTATCTAATATAACAACCTTATTTCCCTTATCAGCTTTTAGATAGAAACACTCTTTGTTACGCAAACTCTTGACAATATTGTGCTCTTTGTTAGATTTTAGTGAATTACTTGAAACGATATTTTTTGATAACTGATTTCTACAAGCCTCTCTTGTAAATACTTTAGAAGCCTCGGGCAAGTGCTGAATAGTGAACAACAAAATTGTATGCTTTGCCAAAAATTCATAAACCGGACAAGTCTATGCGCCCAATTGTTTCGGCTGTAGGTTCTCCGACTTATAATTTGGCAAAATGGTTATCAAGGGAGTTCGAAAATTTACCTGATCATGAACCTTCTTTCTCAGTTAAAAATAATATTGAATTCATTAACAAAATTAAAGGTATAACATTGCATGAAGGTGAAATTTTGGTCTCCTTTGATGTATCTTCGTTGTTCCCAAGTGCTCCAATTCCACATACTTTAGGCTATTTGAAGGAATTACTGAACGCAAATGGTCTCGACAACAAAACTGTGATTGAATATATTGAGCTTACATCGTTATGTATGAAACAAAACTGTTTTCAATTTAATAACAACTTTTTTGAACAGCGGGAAGGTACAGCAATGGGTAATCCATTGTCTCCATTTTTGGCTAATTTATTCATGAGCAGGTTTGAAGTGGAAGCTAAGAATCAGTTTAAGTATTTTCCAAGAGTATGGGTTAGGTATGTGGATGATATTTTTGTTGTTTTTGACACACATTGAGACACCATAGATAATTTTATTTCTAAGTTAAATAATCGTTTTCCTTCCATTAAATTTACGCATGAAATTGAGAACAACGACAGATTACCATTTCTAGATGTATTAGTTATTAGAAATACTAATAATTGCGTGGAATTTGATATCTATAGGAAAAATACCACACGCTGATATATTCCTAATGAATCACATCATAGTGTTGAACATAAAATGGCTAGTTTAAATTTCTTAGTTCATAGATTACTTAGTTTCCCACTTTCCAACGAAAGAAATGAAATAGAAAGAGATTACATTAGGAATGTAGCTGAGTGTAATGGATATTCTCCTTCACTAGTTGATAAATTAATTAGAAAACGTAGGTATAGCTTAATGATTTCCTGAAAATTCGACTTTTCAAGTGGAGGAAGATACGTCTAAATATTTTTCGATACCGTTTGATAGAGAGTTATCCTGTGGTCTAAAAGTAATTTTTAAGAATGTCAATTATAAACTTGTGTATAGTGCTAATAATAAATTACAACAATTATTAGGCAATACAAAGGATAAAACACCTCCACTGGAAAGGTCGGGTATTTATGAAATTTCTTGTAAAGATTGTAATCAGAAATATGTTTGGCAAACTAGAAGATCAATATTAACTAGATTTAAAGAACATTTAGCTCAGATAGGATATGGTAGACCGGATAAATCTTGCGTTGCCGAACATATTGTTGATAATGAACATTGTATAGATCTTAATAATTTAAAATTAATTAAACAAGTCTCAAATTACAGGCAATTAGATGCATATGAAAGCATCAGAATTAATAAATGTAAAGATAGTATGAACAGAGTCAACGGTCCAATTAAATCAAGTTCTTTGTTCCTACTACTCTAGTGGCGGAAATCTAACTGTTACGCTCAGTTGGCTCTGACTCGGTTGGCTAGATTTTGCCACGCCCACTCGGTGCCCACTGAGCGAGTATATAAACGCTCAACTTGTAGATTGTACTTTAGTTTATAATCATCTGCTGATGATGCTAACATGGTTAGCGAAACGCGCGTCCAGTATAAAAGTAAAAGTGTTTTGGTGTATTGTGGTGATTTAGTGTTTTTATTTTGCTTTTTATTTTATTTTGTTGAAGAATTTTGTAAAATGTATAAGAAAAAATATATAGGGTGTGCCGTTTAAAAAAATGTTATTTTATAATTTTAAGTAGTTGAAATACATAATTATATTTTAACACCCTATAGCATCTTAATAAGTTATCTTTACATATATATTTTCCTTCATCTTTAAAAAACTCTCCTACCAAATTTAGTAGTCCAACTTCAGAAACCATGGAATCACTGACAATTTTTTACCAAACTGAAATCTAACATTTCTTTAAATAAATTGAAATGTAAAAACTATTAATTTTAGAGATATAACATTTTATATAAAAAAAGTTATAGAATTTAAGACAGAATCTAAAAATAAAATAAAAAAATAGCCGTGTTGTATTTTAAAAAAAATATATTAATATT